TCGCACGCCCGCAAAAGGCAGCGGGGCCCGCGCGCCTGGCAGGGCTCCGCGGCGAGCTGGCGGCAGCCCGCAACAGCACCTGATGGCTGCCATTAAGTCAGGCACGTCCTTCTACATGAGGAGTATTCACAATATGTATTTAATAGTCTGGGGGCGATTTTTCTATGTTTTGCCTATTTTTGAGCATGGGCTGATTGTTTTTATATTTCGTCCAAAATCCCCCTGTAGGGTGACATGCCCGACCTGAGGCTGCCAGTCCCTCCTCAGGCGCGCCGTAGCCGCCAGGCGCCTGCGGCAGCGAGGAGCCCAACTGGCATGCAGTGCTCATCCGTTTGGCCACCACCCGCGCCCGCTTGGCAATCTTCTCCTCTGTCTCGAGCAGGATGTCCGCCACGCGGGGGTGCCTGCCCACCGCCAGCTTCGCCATGGCGTCGGCGTGCCAGTTGTCGCGGCGCTGCCAGGCCATAGATCACCCCATCGCGGACCATCCGCGTGGAGGCGTGAGCCCGACCCTTCACGACTTGGATGTTGTGAGCCCCGCAGCGCCCAGAACTCCGGCCAGACCTCCCTGTAGGCCACGGCCCGTGCCGTCGTGAGCTGGCGCCCCACGTGCCAGCCGTCGAGCACCATCTGCGAGTCCGTGTGCCGTAGCGCCTCCGTGGCCGCCAGCAGCTCTTAGCTGCCGCTCCCCTGGGGGAGGGGCCTCGGGACCACGCCAGACATGCACGACGCGATGTCGTTGAAACGGTCCGTGGTCCCCGCGCGGGCCAAGTCCCCGCGGCTGTCCAAGGTCGCCGACCCGTCGTCGAGGAACGATGATGATGATGATGATGATGATGATGATGATGATGATGATGATGATGATGATGATGATGATGATGATGATGATGATGATGATGATGATGATGATATGATGGTGATGATGATGATTCATGATACTGATGGTGTTGATGATGATGACTGTAATGGTGTTCGCGATTGTGATGCTGATGGTTGTGGTGATGATGATGACGATGATGATAATGACGACGGTGACGATGATGGTGATGTTGATGACGATGATGATGACGCTGCTGATGGTGATGATGGAGTTGGTGGTGATGATCATGCTGAGGATGTCGATGACGACGAGGACGAGACGACGATAATGATGACGGTGACGACGAAGTTGATAATGATGCTGATATTGATGCTGATGATTATGAGGATGATGGGGGTGATGACAATGGTGATGATGATGTTGTTGTTGATGTTGATGATGTTGATGCTGATGTTTATCGCCATCGTGATGATGACGATGTTTACAGCTTAGGCTGGTGATGTTGATAATGATGATGCTGCTGATGATGATGGTGATGATGATGATTCATGATGATGATGATAGTCATCGTGATGGTGATGATGATGGTGGTTGTGGTGATGATGATGGTGATGGTGGTGGCGATTGTGATTATGATGGTGATGATGACGATGACGATGATTATAATGACGACGATAATGATGATGACGATGTATGATGATTATGGTGGTGGTGGTGGTGAAGGTGGTGATGGTCATGGTGATGGTGATGATGCTGGTGGTTGTGGTGATGAGTATGGTGATGGTGGTGGCGATTGTGATGCTGATGTTGGTGGTGATGCTGATGACGATGATGCTAATGGCGACGATGATGATGACGATGATGATGATGATGATGATGGTTGTGGTGGTGATGATGATCATGCTGACGATGGCAACGACGACGACGACGTGACGATGATGATGATGATGATGATGATGATGACGGTGACGACGAAATTGTGGTGATGCTGATGTTGATGCTGATGAGTATGAAGATGAGTGGGGTGATGACTAGGATGATGATGCTGATGATGATGATGATTTTGACGATGATGACGCTGATGATGATGCTGATGCGTATGCTGATGTTGATACTCATGCTGATGCTGCTGCTGATGATGATGATGCCGGTGATAGTGGTTGTGATGGTGATGGTGCTGATGGTGATGCTGATGAGGGTACAGACGAAGATGCTGATGCTGCTGATGATGATTGTCAAGGTGCTGCAGATGATGCTGATGATTATGATGATGTTGATGTTGATGATGATGATGATGATGATGATGATGGTGGTGATGATGATAGTGATGGGTGGCGGTGATGACAATGATCATGTTGACGATGACGATGCCGATGATGCTGTCGACGACGACGACGAGGCGACGACGATGATGACGGTGGCGACGACGGTGATGAGTATGATGATGACGTGGCGACGCTGCTGATACTGATGATGGTGCTGATGCTGATGATGCTGTTGAGGATGGGGATGAGGAGTGAATGATGATGATAATGATGGTAATGCTGATGGTGATGATAATGATGCTGATAAGCATGATGATGTTGCTGATGCTGATTATGATGATGGTGACGATGGTGTTGATGCTGGTACTGATGCTGACTAGGATGTTGATGTTGCTGATGTTGCTGATGCTGATGATGCTGCTGATGATGATGATGATGATGGTGGTGATCATGATGATGCCGATGATGACGATAATGGTGATGATGATGACGATGATGGTGATGGTGATGGTGATCGTGGTGGTGATGGTGATGATGATGAGGAGGAGGAGGAGGCAGACGATGTTGATAATCATTACCATGGTGATGGTGAGGATAATGATGAGGATGATGATGAGGATGATTGTGAGGATGATGATGAGGATCAGGATCAGGATGACCATGATGATAATGATGATGCTGATGATGCTGATGATGATGAGGATGAGGATGATGATGAGGATAAGGATCGGGATCAGGATAAGGATGAGGATGAGGATGCGGACGAGGATGATGGTGAGGATGAAGAGGATGATGAGGACGATGGTGATGATGATGAAGATGATGATGCTGATGATGATCATGATGATGCTGATGATGACGATGTTGACGATGGCGATGATATTGATGCTGATGCAACTCGTTTGGGCCGTCTCAGGAGCGGCCTTGGCCTCCTGTGAGGCAGCGTTGGGTGTCTCACGGGGCTCTCTTGGGCCATCTTGGGGCCCTCTTGGCCGTTTCGTGGGTGCTGGGGAGGGGGGCGGGCGTCGTGGGGCCGCGTTGGCGCCATCTTGAGCCGTCGAAGGGCCTTCTGCCTTTTAATGCAGTCTTGGGTCCCACGGGCAGCCCTCTTGGGTTGTCGTGGGGCCGTCTCGTGGAGTCCTCTTGGACCGTCTTGAGTTGACGGCAGCTCGAAATGCGAGATGGCCAAATTCACGCACAAACGCAACGGGGAATGAATTGTGGCCATTGCAGGCCCTCTTGGATGCATCTTGCTTGGGCCGTCCTGAATCAATGTTCGGCCGCCTTGGGGCCATCTTTGGCCGCCTGCCTTCGAGGCGTCTTCGCCATCTTGGACACGGGCCGTCTTCGAAGCTCGGGACATCCATGTTTGTTCAAGGGATCGTGGCTTGGGAGGCCGGGAGCAGCGCTCGGGAGCAGCGCCTGGGAATGCGGGAAGTGCACGGTCCTCGAGTGGGTTCGCGTGGGGTGAGGGGTCTAGGAGTTAGCAGACATGCGGGAATCATACAATCCTCGAGCGGGCGCGCATGGAATATGGGTTCAGGTATGGGCTGCCATGTGTGAAGTGCACCATCCTCGAGCGGACACGCGTGGAAGGGGGTTTCAGGCATGAACTGTTATGAAGGAATGGCACCATCCTCCAGCGGCACGCGTGGAAGGGGGGTTCCTGCATTAGCTGTCATGCGGGAGGTGCACCATGCTAGATCGGGCACGCGTGGAAGGGGGGTTCAGGCATTAGCTGCCATGCGGAAGGTGCACCATCCTCCAGCGGGCACGCGTGGAAGGGGGGGTTAAGCAGTAGCTGCCATGCTGGAAGGTGCACCATCCTCGAGCGGGCACGATGGAAGTGACCTAGGCGAGTAGGGGGATGTACGCAAGAGTCCGCGAGTAGAGGGAGGGGCAGTGCATTCTTAGAAGAAAGAGACCCCAGCCAGAGAGACCTTGGCATTCTTCCACGCCTCAACGCGCCAGGGGGCACGGTGCCGGGTTTCAAACGTAGTGCACCAGCACTGCATCGCCCACTGCGTACCACGAATGCCAGCCCAGTGGAATAGTCATTTGCCCGTCGCATGCGACAAACAAAACGCCCCCCTTCAAACCATGGTGCGTTGGCAATGACTGAGGCTGGTGCGTTAGCATGGTGGCAGAACTCAGGCGTGGGACAAACACATAACCTTGATGGAAACGCGAAATTACAAACATGCGAGGAGAGTGCATTGTGGCCGATACGCTCTGCAGACCCTTGGGTATCCCTCGAGCGCAATACAGCAACTCAGTACCAATCCCAGCAAGCAAATGTGATTCGTGGAGAAGCTTGCGCTGACGCAGTCGTGAACACACTGAACCAATGCCAAGCCAAACTTCTCCACCGCAAGCTGAAGCCCGCCCACAAGCAGAATACAGTTACGATCTAATGACATAAGGATGCCACACCTGAACTCTTGCCATGCATACCATAAGCTGGCACCACTCGGCAGACACCCAGCAGGTTATTATTGGCATGCCCCCTGTATGCTTACCTATATGACAACGACTTGGCCGATGTTGTCAGAAGCCATGCTGTTTGTGAAAAACCGTAGCTCACTCTGGAGTGTACGCCCTACCTTCGCCACCGAGACCGGCAACCGTCACGGGCCAATTTGCAAGGTTGAATTGGCTTGATCCGGTGGTTCGGACCTAGGTTCTCGAGCCTCCTTGGTTGAGCGAGTCTGGTGTAATGTGTAATCCTTGTGAGAAGCCCTCAGAGATCTGTTTGGGGTCGTGGGCCCGTCGTTGGGTGTCTTAGAGTCGTCTGGCGGGTTCTTGGGCCATCCTGGGACCGTCATAGGCTGTCTTGGGTTTGTCAAAGGCCCTCTGCTGGTGGCCATATTGGGCCATCGGAGCCCTCCTGAAACCGAAGCGCCATCTTGTGTGATCCTGGATCTCTTTCCTCTCGTGCATGTCATTTCGAACTCCCTGGAAGAGGAGTTCAACAATCGTAGGTGGGGCGACCATGACCACGTTGGCTCTAGCCATGTTGGCAACGGTGTCAAGATCAAGCTCTGTCGGTGTGCATGGGAGCATGTGCGAGCAGTTCCTCTTAGATTTCTTTCATTGTGGTAGATGCGAGCCTCGTTATGCGTATTGGGTCGACATGCTCTCGGCCTTGCTGTCGCCCAGGAGATGGCGGTTTCGCGCGGGGGGCGGTGCTTGTCGGAGTCGTACAAAAATGCGAAGATGCAAATGAAGTGGCAATGTGCACAGGGCCACCGATGGAGTGCTTCTTTGTTCTCTCTGCGCAGTCGTGGTTCGTGGTGTCCCCACTGCGCAGGGAACGCGCCGCTCGGACTCGACACTGCGATTGCTACAGCCAAGTCGAGAGGTGGCAAATGTTTATCAACGAGGTATATCAACTCAAAGGAGCCAATGGTATGGGAGTGTGCCATTGGTCACAAGTGGACAGCAAAGTTGGGGAATGTCAGGAACAAAGCCACATGGTGTCCGTCCTGCGCCAAACCGACCTTGAGCCTACACGACGCGCGACAGTTGGCTGCAAGTCGTGGAGGGCGTTGTTTATCAAGCCAGTATGTTAGTTCCCGGGGATATTTGCAGTGGCAATGTGCTCTAGGGCATACGTGGCGCGCCCAATTTGCAAATGTCAAGTACGCAGGAAGTTGGTGCCCCACCTGCGCCCAGGAGAAGAAGGTATCTCGCACTCAGATGCTAGAGGTTGCCCGCAATGTAGCCCGCGCACGTGCAGGATACTGCTTAGGCTCGGGCTACATAAATAACAAGGCTCAAATGCGCTGGCGATGCCGCGAGGGACACGAGTGGCAGGCGTCTCTCAATAACATCAAGGACGCTGGAAGTTGGTGCCCTGAATGTGCAACGGGCAAGAGCCAGAATGGCGTCAAGCAAGTATTCGAAGACATATTTCATGGACATCGATTTTACACCCGACGTCCACGGTTTCTGAGAGGCATGCGAGGACGGCCGTTGGAACTTGATGGATACTGTCAAGCTCTGCACCTAGCATTCGAGTTCAATGGTCGTCAACATTACGATCCGAATATGTACTGGAATAGGGGCCGGTCCGCACATCACTTTGAAGATCAATGCCACAGAGATCGATTGAAGGTTCTTCTCTGCCAGGCCTTCGGAGTGCGATTGGTGGTGGTCCCCTGGGATGTACAAAATACGCGGAACTTCATATGGCTCTGTTTAACCCGCTGGTTCAGGATAGCCGAGTTGGTCTCACCTATGCTCGGGCCGGGCCATGAATCAGAGGGGGGGCCAGGACAATTACGCACCGAAGGCGAAAGCCCATGCACGCCCGCTGGAACAGCTCATTTAAGCTTCTTCAGGGAACACGGCCAGAGGCAGCATTGATGCAAAGGCTGCAACAGCGTCAAACAAGAGGGGCTGATGTTTCACAGGCAGGAGACAAGGAATGCGGTGTCACTATGATGTTGTACCGCGTCCGCTCCGACACGAACAATGATGCTACGACACTGTAAACCAATAGCCTAGCCATCTTCCCGCGGGCGTTCGCGCACTTAGCTTGGGACCCCTGGTTTCACTGGAATGCGCATCGAAATGTTCCTTCGGTTGGTGCCTATACCATTCAAACAATCCTCTTGGGAGCCCTTCCTTCCGTCTCTCCCCTCCTCTTTGCTCTCCCGCTCCTTACTCACACCTCCCCCTCTCCCTCCTCCTTCCTCTCCTCCTGTGTTCTTCCCGTGTCGCACTGTGTTTAAAGCTCTGACGTTTTTCCCATGGCTTCGATGACAAAAATTGTGGCTTGAGCTTGCAATGTTGTTTTTAGTATCCTCGTTGATTCTCCATCCGGGCTTCGCCTGAGGATTCTCATTGTGTCAGGGCAGGAGGGCCAGTTGTGATCATCCGTGGCCATCCCCGGCTCGATTCTCTGCAGGGTCCTCCGCAGGTTTTTCAGGAGGGTCCCCAGGTTCCTTGGGAATTCCTCAGTGTTGCCCCGTTGTTTTTATTTGATTTCGCATTGCACTGGCGTTCACTGGTTTTCATGCTTTTGTTTCGCTTGCTGCATGGCACAGCACTGCTCGATGATGCTTCCCCATGCTATGCTATGCTATGCCTGTGCTGGACCATATGCCATGCTGTGCTACGCTAACTATGTTACGCTGTATGCTATAACTTGTAATGGGATGCTGCCTCATGCAGTGTTGCTCAACGCAACGCGATGCTGTACCATGCTGTTTTATGGACATACATGTTTCGTTGTCATACAAACTGCCGTGTTATGCGCTGTCGTGTTACGCCAAGTGTTGCAAAGCAATGGCATGGCATTGTGTGGCATGCAGTGCTCTGCCGTACGATAAATCATAGCCGTGCTACAATGTGCGAGTCGTTTCTGTTCAGGGGTGCGCAATGTAATGTCGGTCGACGCCACGTGGGGATACGCGAAGATATGTCATCACATGTTACAGTATGTTACATTCGGAATCTAGCACTTGGTGTTGCTGATATGCCGAGATATGCTGCGATTCGTTGGCCTATGCTATGCAAGCTTGGCAATGATGTGATGCACTGTGTTATGATATGCAGCACACTGCTACGATATGACATGCTGCACAAGGCCATACCATGGCAAGATGTTCCATGTTGCGCCATGCTAATTACGTTGTGCCTTGTAATTGCACGCACTAGTGATACGCCCTTACATGCTAGCGAAGCTATCCACTGTTATGGTATGCATTGGGACACTATGCGTTGCATCGCGTCGCAATTCATTTCAGCACATTGCATCGCACTGGTAGCACAAGTATCTCTTCAGCGACCATTATCTCTCTAAGTGCAGAGGCGCTGGGTTCATTCTATCGAGTGTGTGTGGTCATCGAGCCGCAAATCGTCACGAATCGGTGTTCCTCGACCTCGGGCAAGCAACGACGGTTTTTTGTCAGCGCCCAATTTTAGATTTTTGCTGCGCTGACGTCCTTGTTCCTCTCCTTTGTACCAATCGTCCTTCCCTTTGCGCCGATCGCCCTTCCAGAACCATGAGACTCGGAGCTGGAGAGAGGAGGGGCGCCGAAGGACTCTCGAGCGGGCGCTCGCGGCATCCTCGCGCGAGCCGTCGCGGAGACAGCAGCGCTAGGCCCGCCCGTTCTGCTAAGAAGGGCCATCCGAAGAGCCAGGCCTCGAGATCTCTTGCCCGCAGTTGCCAACCTGGATCGCCCGCCTGGCTTGTCAGGAAGGTCCATCTGCAGAGCAGGATCTCCAGGCTTCTTGATTACTTGAGGCTGCTGGCCGCGCAGAGCCCTTCTCGTTCCCCTGAAGCCTTTTCAGGGGGCAGGCTCGTGGCGCCTGAGAAAAGGATTCCTTGGAGTGCGTTTTCTTTGTCCGCTCCTGCTTCCCCTCCTCCTCCTCCTCCTCCTCCTCCTTTTCCTTCCTCTTCGTCCCCCTCCATGCTTCCCCTCGGAGCTCCCACCTCGAGCTCCTGAAACCCTTCCTTTACCGATTCCATGTTTTCTTGTCTTTTAAGGTGCAAGAAATCCGAGCCAGACCAAGCAGGAGGGGGCTCCCAAGGTTTGAGTAGGCACTCTCCCTTCGAGGCAAGACCCCAGCTGAGCCCAGATCGCCCCCGTCCTCCTTGGACTGGCCAGGGCCTGCGGCCTCCCTGATCCTCACTGTGCTTCCTTCGCCTGCTCCTCCCCCTCCCCCTCCGTCGTAGAAGGAAGAACTTGATCCGCATAAACTTTCGGCGATAGGCGCGGATTTCTTGAATCTGCACTGAGCCCCCTGGCGGCGCCTCCGGCGCCGCCCCTGGTGCGCTCCGCGCGCCAGGGAGGGGGGTCCAGCGCGGATCGAAGAACTCCGCGCGGACCTCTAAAAGTTTATGTGTTGTGCAGTTTTTCCCAGGAAGGGCTTGAGCCCAGGGTTTTCTTTTCGTCAGTTACCCCCCCGAGCTCGACTTGAGGGCTGGCGGAATTGAATTGTGAGGATGTCCCTAGCGAAACGCTGGTTTTTGAAATTCAGATAAATAAAACACAGGGTAAAGTAAGCAATTTCGTTTGTTGCGGATGTCTCGAGCGAAACGCTTGTTTTGCATCATGTGTTGAGAATGTCTTGAGCGAAACGCTCGTTCTATGCTATATAGATCGTTCCTCTCCTCGGGGCCAGCATTCAGAGGATGTCTCAGGTGAAATGCTCGTTTTCACGTGCCCAGGTCTTGAGGATGTCTCGAGCGAGACGCTTGGTTTCACGCCTCCAGGTTGCCCAGGCCGATGTCTAGCATCAGGATTTGTTGAGGATGTCTCGAGCGAGCCGCTTGGTTTTACGCGTCCAGGTCGCCCAGACAGCTGTCTAGCATCAGGATGTGTTGAGGATGTCTCGAGAAAGACGCTTGTTTTCGCGTGTCCAGGTCGCCCAGGCGGATGTCTAGCATGAAGATGTGTTGAGGATGTGTTGAGCGAAACGCTTGGTTTCATGTGTCCAGGTCGCCCAGGCGGATGTCTAACATGAGGATGTGTTGAGGATGTGTTGAGCGAAACGCTTGTTTTACGTGTCCAAGTCGCCCAGGCGGAAGTCTAGGATGATATGTTTGAAGAAGGTCTTAAGCGAAACGTTTGTTTTCACGTGTCCAGGTCGCCCAGGCGGATGTATAACGTGAAGATGTGTTGAGGATGTCTCGAGCGAGACGCTTGCTGTCACGTGTCCAGGTCGCCTAGGCGGGTGTCTAGCATGAGGATGTGTTGAGCGAAACGCTTGTTTTCACATGCCCAGGTCGCCCAGGCGGATGTCTAGCTTGAAGATGTGTCGAGGATGTGTTGAGCGAAACGCTTGGTTTCATGTGTCCAGGTCGCCCAGGGGGGCCAGGCGGATGTCTAGCATCAGGATGTGTTAAGGATGTGTTGAGCAAAACGCTTGTTTTCACGTGTCCAAGTCGCCCAGGCGGATGCACAGCATGAGGAATGAGGATGTGTTGGGGATGTCTCGAGCGAAACACTTGTTTTCACGTGTCCATGTCGCTCAGGCAGATGTCTAGCATAAGGAGGTTTTGAGAACGTCTCGAGCGAGACGCTTGGTTTCACGTGTCCAGATCGGCCAGATGGGTGTCTAGCATGAGGATTTGTTGAGGATGTCTCGAGCGAAACGCATGTCGCAGAAGGGCGCGTCGCAATCCTACACTGCCCGTCCGTGGGGCGTCCCCTGGCGCCCTGGCGCGCCCCTTCCCTTGCGACGTTCTGGTGTGACGTGCCCTGGCGCGTCCCCTAGCATGCCACTCGGCGCGGCACGTTCCCTGGCTCGTCCTCTGTCGCGTTCCATTGCTCGTCCCCCGGCGTGTCCCTTGCTCGTTCCGTGGCGAGCCCTTTGCAACGCCCCTTGGCATGACGTCCTCTGGCCCCCCCATGGCACGCGCTTTGGCACGTCCCGTGGCAGGTCCCTAACACGTCCAGGGCACGTCTCCTGATGGATCCCCTGACACGACCCCTGGCGCATCCACGATTGTGCCCCTGGCACATCCTGTGGCACGTCCGTGAGCATGTGCCCCGTGTCGTGTCGTTCCTTGTCGGAGCTGAGTCGGATTTCGAGGTCGAGTTGATTGAACGTCCTCCACCTTTCCACTTCAACTAGCTCTGGGGCGGCTATTATGTGCTCAGGCAGCTCGAGCTTAAGATCCAGATCAGTTCGGTCAGGACTCGAATGCTAAGGAGGACTCGATCCACATCGCTACAGAGCACAATCGCGGCATGGCACATCGCAAGTCCGCACCGCACAGCACAGCACAGCCCTTGGCACGGTACAGCAAGATCGACCCACTCCAGCATTGCACTGGCCCGTCGCCCAGTCAGGTGTCTTGAAAACGTTGTCATGCCTCACAGTTCTATGTCCTTTTCCGGGTTTCGTGGGTCGATCATGTTTCAACGGCACCGTAACGGGTACTTACTAACGGGTACTTTGAATTGTTGCCGAAAGTTGCCACTTTAGGGCCTTTTTCTTGCATTGCAGCTTTGCACACATCGGGAAGGGTTGGGTTCGCTGGGTCAGTGGCCAAAGTACCCGTTAGTGGAGTCCCCGTTTGAGGGGCGCTGAATGTTTCTTCCTCCCATCCCGTCGCACCTGCGCCACCACGCCGGCCTCGGCCGCCGCGCGGCAGCCGCGGCACAGCGGGTGCAGCGCGGAGCGGCAGGCGCGCTTCTGGGCGTGGAAGTCGCCCTTCCCCGGCGCACGCCGTCCCCGGTGCCTGAGGCCCATTGCGCGCCGCTCACGTGCCGACTCGCGGCGGCGCCGCGGCCGCCCTCTTCTTTTCCGCCTGCTCCCGCGCCTCCTCCTCCTCCTCCTCCTCGTCCATCTCCTCGTCCTCCTCCTCCTCCTCCTCCTCCTCCTCCTCCTCCTCCTCCTACTTTCTCTTCCGCCTGCCTCCCGCGCCTCGTGTCCGGCGCACCCCGACGGGAGCGACTCCCGCGACCGCTGGCGCTGGCGATTCAGAAATGGCTCCAGCCAGTTCGTTGAGAGAAGTGGTGGGCAGATTCTCCCAGCCACGACTACCAGATGCAGGACGGAATATGTTTCATTGTTCGCCCAAAATCCGCCTGTGGGTGGTTGCCCCTGGGGTGCTTCGGATTCCACGGCCGCTCCTTGGTTTTTCCCGGCTCCACTCGGAAAAAGGGGCTTCGTTCCTCACTGCGAAGGCCTTACGGCCAGCG